TAGTGAAGAAAATCAAAGAAAATTGTTTTATAGTAAGTAAATCATTAATTTGATGTAATATATAGCAACTGCTATACATATCTCTAATTTTGTTATTTGTACCCCACCTCTATAATTAAAATTTATCAAATTTTTAAAACTTTAAATGAAGATATTTTAAAAAAAATTTATTGAAATTGATTAGGTAGTTGTTAAAATATTTTGCTTAAAGTTTTAAAAATTCAAAATATCTATTAAAATAAACAACTATTAAGTCAATTTGATGAAATTTTTTATTTAAATACTGTGAATTTGTAGAATTCAAATAAAAAAATTTATCAAAATTAATTTACTGTAGTGCACTGACCAAAGTACCTAGGTCTAATACAATCTATCCAAATAAAACTTATAAAGTACCTGTGAGTATCTTGATCGATGACAGGTATCTTGTATGGGAGTACTTTGTATAGTCTTATATATGTAATATAGAAATCAATATATATTAATATGAAAAATACTATGCAAAATACCTGGGTATTATCTACAGTTAAAAAAAATGCTATACAAAGTACCCAGGTATTTTGAATAGGGGTATACAAAAAGGTGGTACTTTGGTTAGTGTACTATGGTAGTAGCTATCAAGATATCTTCATTTAAAGTTTAAGAAAAATCTAAGGCATTTATTAAACTAGAAGCTATGCTAAATTTTTCTCAAACTTTGAGCAAAAATATCTCAACAACTATAAATCAATTTTGATAAGTATTTTTTATTTAAATCTAAAATATTTATATAATTTAAATAAAAATGTTTATTAAAATTGACTTGGTAATTGTTGAGATATCTTTGTTTAAAGTTTTGAAAAAATTTGGCACAGCTTTTATTTAATATTGACATTTTAAATTTTTTTAAACTTCAAATGAAGATATCTTGACAATTATCAAGTTAGAATATTCTATAGAATAGATAGACAATATAAAAAATAAGTTTCACTAATAATTAGTAATCATTAATTTTTTAATAGCAGAGTTATAAAGTTTGCAAAGTTTGTCTACCTATTCTATAAAACATCCCCAAGTTAATTTCAATAAACTTTGTTATTTAAATTCTATAAGCCAGTAAGATTTAAATAAAAAAAGATTATTAAAATTGATTTGATAGTTGCCAAAATATTTTTACTCAAAGTTTGAAAGAAATTTAGTGTAGCTTCTATATTGATAGATGTTTTAGATTTCTTAAACTTTAAATGAAGATATCTCAACAACCACTAAATCAATTTTATGAACTTTTTTTTTTTGAATTTTACAAATTCATAAAATTTAAATAAAAAAAGTTCTTTGAAATTAACTAGTGATTGTCAAAATATTTCTATTCATGTTTGAGAAAAACTTAGTACAACTTTTAGGATGTTCTATAGAATAGGTGGACAAACTTTGCAAGCTCCACAACTCTGCTACTAAAAAATTCATAATTACTAATCATTAGTGAAGCTTATTTCTTATATTGTCTACCTATTCTATAGAATATCCCAACTTTTATTTTGATAGAGCATTTTGAATTTTTAAACTTTAAGCAAAGATATCTTGACAACCACTAAGTCAATTTTAATGATTCATTTTTATATAAATTCTACGAATTTGTAGAATTCAAATTAAAAAAATTCATCTTGGTGGTTGTAAGATATCTTCGCTCAAAGTATTAAAAATTTAACAAATTTTAATTTACAGGGGTAGGGTGCGAATAGCAAATTTGTATAGCAACCGCCTAAATATATTACATCAAATTAATGATTTACTTACTATAAAACAATTTTCTTTGATTTTCTTCACTACTTTGATAATGTACCAGGCTTTCAAAGTTTCATTTTGCTAAAAGCTCTCATTCTGATGCATCTACTAAATCACTTTTCATGTCACAAATTTGTGAACTGGAAAAATAATTGCCAATGTTAGAGATTATGATGTTTTATAGGGAGAAGTTTTTTTTTATATTTTTCATACCGTTCGATTCGTAAAAACCTCAGTAATAAGTTTGTTTTAATAAGCGTAGCATGCTTTTTGCTAAGATTTTAGAAAAAAATTTAAAAATGTAAATTCGTAGCTTATGTATTTACAAAGATTATATGATAAAATTTTAGATGGGGACTGTTAGTGTACAAAGTCGATTTAAATACCAGTTTTCTCTTTTTTCTCTTGTACACGTATTTTGTTTTGACGTCGGGACAATCAAAATTTGCGCATTCAGATTGGTCATTTCCTTAGCGCTACATCACGTTACTGCATAAGTGTCTAAACTCTGGTGGGATTGTAGCATTTGCCCATTTTAAAATTGAATAGTACCGGATACTGTATGCAGTGGCAAAAATAGTAGTTACCTTCACTTCTAAGTAAAGTCCCCTGTTTTGGGGATTATTTTGAGATTATTTGGTATAGTGAAGAGCAAAGTTCCTCTAAACCTAACGATAAAAAAAAAATAGTTTTTCATAAAATGGTTAAACTAATTTAAATTAGTTAACCGGACAATTGATCAGACGAATGTCCTCCTATGAACTCTCCTATATAAAAAGTTTTAGTAATTTAAAAAATCGAAGCAAATGTCTACGTAGTATAACTGCTAGCACCAAATATGGTAACTTATTAAAAAAATTAAGTTGCGCTTTAAGATTTTCTATTACAGTAATTTACAAGTGTTGAACACTCGCTTATAAAATAGTTAATTTTAATTAATTAAACGAAGAAATTAATATCTTAAAATTACAAGTTAAATTTAAAAAATATTCTTAAAAAAATATTAAGAAAAGTATTTATTAAAAAGTACATGTTAATCTTTACTAGACAAAAATGAACATAACTTATTAAAAGGTTCTTATAAAAAGAAAACGTAATGTTAAGAGTAGAAATCACATTATAGAAATAGTAAAATTACTAACATTGCAACATAGTTTCGGTTACTTGGTGAATTTACTGTAGGACGTACGAACTATATAGACATCATTAGCAAAATTGCGGAAAATTTATTAAAATATAATAAAACTTTCTGCTAGCAAAAGAAACCAAAGTTTTGAAAAATAAAAAAAATTTAAGTTGAATAATTGACTAAATATTTAGATTTTTTTAATGTTTGCTGAATCAAGAGTTTTGTTCTCAAAAAGAATAGTTAATGGAAGACCAATTAATGGGTCAACATGACCAGGAGTTGTTACGTTCCAAGGACCAGCCGAAGGTGGGTTAATAGATATCCCAAAGTAACTGAATGGCATTTTAGCGACACTGATTAGTATAAAGTAACTATCAGGATTATTTTTCTCAATACCCTTCTTAAGCACTCCACTTAATATAATATTCTGTTCATTGATTTGTTCTAATTTAATTGTACCATCAAGTTTTGGTAATGTGACTGAGGCTTTATCATCAACAAAACGAGAATGGGGTGTTGCTTGTAAATAAGTAAAAATTATTGCGAGAAAGGTAATAAAAATAGCAATAACTTTTGTTTTTATCATTTTGAATAAAATTTAATTTATAATTATTTGGTTTAATTCTTCGTTTTGAACTTTTTTTACTGCAAGCCAAAGACCACCTCCTTTTAAATTCAATTGTTCAATGGATACAGTATGTTGTGCCTCAGATTGTCAGGCGTCTGCCGCATAATGGTCATTTGACTAGAATTAACAAATCAGCCTAAACCAATGTTGTCACGGGACAGTTGCGGACATGAGTTTGGACACTTTTGGACATTTCTAAACAAATAAATTAAAATTACTCAAAATTTTATTAAGTTTAACCTATTTAACTTTCTAAATAAAATATTCAGCACTATAAAAAATATATAATAATATATTTTTAAATTAATATACAGAGAACATCAACCTATTTGAATAGTTTTTCTATTCATGTTGATAAATTAGTGAGGGATCATATTAAAAGTTGATATATATGAGGGAATTTTAATATAATTTGAATATACAGAATTCATTTTATAGCTTAGGTTGATATTAACGGGGTTCTCTGAATTAATTTTTGAAGCTTGAATATGCTGTGAACATTCTTGAATATGTGGATGTTTGGACATTGGACATGACCTAAAAAAGTCTTGAACATAGTAGACGTGACAACACTGGCCTAAACCCGATCCTAATTCTAACCCTACCTGACATAACGCATCTTTAATCTATATCTATATTTGTTTAGCCAATTATGTAATTCGTTAAGGCCAGTCTTCATAGAGTATCAACAAATAAATCATAACGTTCATTCGGCTGACTCGGATTAGAATAATTTACGACTCATGACCTGTCCCAAGTAACATTTCTAGGGCAAAGTACTGAAGTAATAAAAGTTTATTATTTATTATTTACAAAGCCCTGATCGTAGACATATATGAGTGCCGTCAACTGAAAACCCGCAAATCTTATAAGATTTGCGGTGTGAGCGCAATGCCGAAATTTGTCTTAATTATAATGAGTTAATGATACGTAAATAACTTAATTACGTATCATATATGTCATCTGCCAGGGCTGAGTCTAGTAAATAACAAATAATAAACTACCCTTTGCGTCACTCATTTATTGGTACATGCGTACATAAGTATCAGATGATTAAATTTGCCGGTGTTACCGTTACATTTGAACGTCACCAAGCGAAAACCAAACGGATAACACATAACATCCGATCAGATTTTGCTAAAAAAAAACTTTCTTTAAATACGATATATTGAGGGTATAATAGTATTAATGCTTGTAATAAATTGCTTGGTGTCTATTTGGAAGTACTTTCCCAAATTATTTGTGCCGGTATGCTTTGCTCTGCTATTTTTACTCCGTTGACCCGTGCTTTCGGTACGGTATATTATATAAAAATCTACTAATACTTTAAATCCGGATTAGGTTGATTAGCTGGGCCGGAATTAAGAAATTGTATTAATGAAATATCCTATTAATTAAGTAGAAATGCTCGTATACAGGGCTGGGTAATTTACGTAAGCCATTTAAACTGACAGTTAAAATTTAGTTGATGTAACTTACGTAACTTACATATTTTGGTACTGAATCAGAATCAGCCTCTCTATGAATTTAGTATTAAGGTCTTAGATTATTCCGAAACTTCGATCCAATTTTGTTCTCGACCTTGTTCTTATTTTACGTTTAGGGGAGGGACAGAAATCAGCTGATTTTTTAGGGGGTTGGGGTTTGTGATTCGATCAGGTCCTATATTTTGTAGCTAAATTTAATTGGCTAATATTTGAATCAGGTGGGGGGTGGGGGTATAGCCTCTTAGTAACTTGAAATCACCTGATTTCTGTCCCTCCCCTTAGTCATTTTCTACTCGGATTATTTCGGAGAAGTGTTTATTTTAACTACTTTTAACTATTTCAACTACTTTATCTAATGCTGACCAAGAAACTAATCATAATGCTGGCCAAATTCAATCATAAGCTATATAATTTGCATTAACATTAAGTATTTGTAACTTATATGAATCCATGTAACTTATGGTGTAAATTATCATGGTGGACGCATACGTACAATAATGTGAACGAATTGAGGCAAGTATTACGACATAATGTAGTCCATCAGCAAGTACATTTTTACATAGATCTATGTAAACTTCTTATGTAAGGTTATATAAATTTTTATTGAATTTTATGAAAACTTTATAAACCCAATGTAGATTTACATAGTTACGTATTAATATAAAACTATATATATTTTTATATAGAACTACGTAAAATTTCAAAAAATTTAAATTAAATATTGAAGCAAAATTAGATTTTAAAGTTTAAATTAGGGTTTGGAAAAGGTTTTCGAGCATGCTGAGCATTTTACTTAGTGCATCGAGCAGTGATTACCTTAGCCACTTTTGAGAAACAGTTAAAGTAAATTAAATTATTTTTATGTAGATAAAATATAATTTATATAAATTTTGTTTATATAAATATTATATAAATATTATATTAAATTATATGTAAGAATTCTAATTACTATAAAAACTTGAAATAATGAGCATGGGTGTTAATTTGAAAATTATAATCCCTAAAAACAACATATATAGTTTCAAAATAACATCTATGCACATAGCGAAATAATATGCATCTCACTATGGAGCCTTTATAAACAATTAAACAAAAATTTTAGAGAACTTATATGGCAGGTTAAATTATAATACTTAAGAATATATTCATTATAATTTACAGTAATAACATATTAAAAGACCAAGTACTAAGCAATTTTATATTGTATATCTAAGATTGTTTAGAAAAAAGAATGAAATTGTTTCAGCTTCGGAAGTTTTATCAGACAACAAAAGCTTATACAAGCAGCTTATATTTATGACTTTGGTGTTGTTATTATGATAATTGGACAAAAAAGTTTTTTACTGGCATAAAGAATTGTACAAGAAAACATTCAGAATTGGTACTTAAAACTCTCAGTCACTACTGGTATGTTGAATTTGCAAAGCAGTGTAAGAATACTAAGTCACACAAAATGATATGCAAAATTTTAATTATTCTATTTTAAATAATTGCATTAACTATCATGAAAGTACTGTATATTGTAAGAACTGTTAACTATATTGTAATATTAACGAATTTTTATTAACATTTTTTTTATAATTTTCCTTAAATTTTATTATATATTTTATATATTTATTATATATTTTATCATTTTATTAGTTTATTTACAT